AGATCAGTCTACATGATAATGGATTTTAAAGTCAGTCACAGACTCATGGAATGTTGGCAACGTGAATTTGCTTCACTAGAATTTGCATAAAGAATAAACTTCTGGCATTAGTCACCCCGTTCGAAATGGCAAGAAGGTAGCCACACTTAAGAGAAATCTTGGCAAGATGCAATGACCTGCCCTATTACTGGAGAGTGATACATTTCTATTTTTCCAAATATGTATATCCCTTCTTTTTGGCTAACTGGAGATATAGATTAGATACCCAAGTAATTTTCTTTTATACCAGTGGAATGCCAGCAGATCACTATTGCTGAATTACATAAAGCTCTCCATGAATATATTCAGGGTTTATACCTCCTAAGGAAGTTAAAACGTATCTCCCATCTTTGTAGTTTCACTAGTTGGCCTTCCAAATCTACACATTCCATAATGACTTGAATGTATATAAATATTAAAACACCCAAAAAGCAAGCCTTAATGTTGCTATTTTATACAAGACACACCATTTTACACCATTGTACACAATGAGACTTGAGCACCCATGGATTTTGGTGTCCCTGGGGGAAGTCCTGATGCCAAATTGCAACAGATACCATGGGCTTATGTACTCTTCATCATCACTGAGTGTATTTTCCATTTTGAATTCAACATATGAAGAGCCCTTTACAATTCTAGGAACTTTGGGCTTTCATCACACAAAGTGCTTTTAATTAAGGTTTATTATCACACATACTGCAAGTCACTTCTGGTGTGAATGAGCAGTCTACAAAGATGTTGTCCAAGGGATACATGAATATTAGGCCTGTGCGGTTTTGTTCGTTAATTCGTTATTAATTCGTTATTTTTAGCATTTCCGAAGCGATATCAAAACACATTTTCAAACCCGGAAGGGTTTTAAAATATCGAACCGGCAACCCCCAAAGATTTAACGAGCTTCCGCTCGTTTCGTTAATGGGATGGAGGCTGCTGGAGTGCTGGTGCCTGGGAGCCAATCCGGCGCTCCCAAGCAGTGCACCGTGGGTCCGTGGCTGTTTGTTTTTGATTGGCCGGCGAGCCCTTTCAAAGCGGCTCCGCGCGGCCTTAGCTCATTGCTGCAGAGGGCGAGGGAGAGAGAAGAGGTCCGGGAGGGTTTGCATTGGGTTGGCTTGGCTTGGCTAGCAACTGGATTGGATTCATTCCTTGCTGCTGTGAGTGCTGCTTGCTTCGGTTTTTGTGAATTTGTTTCTTAATTTTTTGGTTAATTTTCCATTTTAAAATATTTTTAATATTATTTTTTAATATTATTTTAATATTATTCTTAAAAAATATTCTAAAAAAGAAAAGACTCTTCTGTTGGTGTGTGCTCTCATTTGCTGTCTCCTGCCTGTGTTTGGTCCACATTTGGGCCATTTTTTGGTTAATTTTCCATTTCAAAATATTTTTTAATATTATTTTTTAATATTATTTTAATATTATTCTTAAAAAATATTCTAAAAAAGAAAAGACTCTTCTGTTTGTGTGTGCTCTCATTTGCTGTCTCCTGCCTGTGTTTGGTCCACATTTGGGCCATTTTTTGGTTAATTTTCCATTTTAAAATATTTTTTAATATTATTTTTTAATATTATTCTTAAAAAATATTCTAAAAAAGAAAAGACTCTTCTGTTGGTGTGTGCTCTCATTTGCTGTATCCTGCCTGTGTTTGGTCCACATTTGGGCCATTTTTTGGTTAATTTTCCATTTTAAAATATTTTTTAATATTATTTTAATATTATTCTTAAAAAATAAAAAAAATATTCTAAAAATTCGTTAATATTTACAAAATTTCGTAAATACCAAAACTTTTTTTGGGAAAGTTTTGTAATTATTTTAAATATCGAAACAAAAAAACACCCCAATTACAAATCGATTTTAGAACCAATTTTTTTCTTGATCAACCAGGCCTAATGAATATATTATCCTGCAGAACAGTGGATGTGGCTCTTAATGAGACATGCCATATTAACACAGGATGTCTATGCCCTACACCACTGGAGAAATTATACTGTCTAGCCACCTGAAATCTGACAGGAAGAGATCTTTTAAAACACTTTATGAGACCGAAAGAGGGTTGTAGCATTCACTATTTAGACACAGAGGAAGCAGACTTAAATCTACAGAGGTTTATGCTTCCAACTCTATTAGTCTCAAAAGTGCAAAAATATCCCTTTGCACACTATACAGCACTGGAATTGTTTGCTTAGATATGCTGTAGGCTTTACGATTCGTACGTGCTTCAGAAAAAACAGATTACACAGGTTCATACATGGTTATCAAGTAACTATATTAACTCTTATACTTAATGGGGCTGCTTCACTTTTTCTGTGTGAAATCCAATGAATGGAGTGGAGTAAATGTAAGTGCTAGGTCATGTGCGCCTACTCAAATTGAGCTCAATGTAATAGTTATATTATATTAATACATACCACCTTTTATCCATTTCATAAGTGACTTGAGAAAATGCAAGTAGTTTCTGGTGTGAGAGAATTGGTCTACAAGGACGTTGCCCAGAGGACGCCCCGATGTTTTATCTTGTCATGTCCCTGCATGGGAAGCTGGAGCTGACAGACGGGAGCTCACCCCATCTTGTGGATTCAAACCACTGACCTTCAGGTCAGCAGTTCAGCCGGCACAAGGGTTTAACCCAATGTGGCACCTCGGTTCCTTGTATTCATACTAAAAATCAAGATAAAAAGAGCATTTGCCCTTCTGCTCCACTGGAGGTTTCTGTCCTCTCTCATCTGATAGAGGTAATGACAAACCTGACACTTACAGCAATTACTTCTCCAAGTAACTAAGAACTATGGAATTTGTGTAATAAGGAAATATGCCACCTGGTCTCATGGAATCAGAAGTGTGCCAGTACTGTAGAAGTGTCTTTTTCTCCCAATGCTCCTGAACCCATAATCCAAAAAAGTTATTTTCTAAGTGACTTATTCTAATAGTCTGTATGAAAGAAATCACTTTCCAAGTTTTCAGCACCTTTATACTTCTGAGGGAAATGTTAGACATTTGTAACCCATTCATCTGCTTAGGGTTAGCTTTGATTTAACCCTGGTAACAGGGCAAACCTGACGAATGAGAGTAGCACCACAGCACAGGATCCTCTCCTCGCCTTCCTTGCAGGAAAATTATGCATCGGTTCCAAGCTTACATGCCCCTAAGTGACATTTATTATAAAGTGGTGGGAGAAAGCATTGCTTTCAAAACCAGTTTTCATCAGATTGTCCCTCTTTGTATCTATATTTTGTATCTATATTTTGTACATTTCTGAAGTTAAAGTCGTAACCTAAAGCCCGACATCATCACTTGAATGAAGTGTCTACATGTTTAAACCTAGCCTCACTGGGTGTTTCGAACAACTCATCACTGGCTGTTCCTAAAATTAGAAAAAATCCAAAAGTACCAGGCTAAAAAATATTTTATTTGTTCATTTCTTGCACTTGAAGTACTCTTCGATGACATCTTTAGCCTGAGATTCTTTGCCATAGTCCTACAATAAAATAACACATTAATATTACAGTGGTTTCTGACCAAGCACTATGTGTAACTTATTGGATGTGTAAACTGTACATACAAATATTAGGCAAGACACTAAAATAGAGCTGCTGTAAATACAGGGTTAGTCAAAATGAATAGGCCAATAAGAAAATTAATTTTAGACGAATGTATGTTTATTGTAACCAAACTACAGCTACGTAGCGACAGATAAACTATCAAAGTTTTGTCTCACCTTCAGAGATGTTCGATATGGGCGCCCCGTGTGACACGGCAGATGTCCAAGCGATAGTCCAGTTCATTCCACATCCGTTGCAGCACATCCGACGTAATGGCATCGAATGCAGCAACGTCTGGGAAGGTGTTCGTTGAGGTCCTAACCCTAACCCTAACCCTATCCCTTGAAATTCTCGCTGGACCGTAATTACTGACATTGTTTTAGCAAATGTCATCACACAAAACGCCTTCTCTTTGCTTGATTCCGCCATTTTGAAAACAGCGACCCCTAGCGACGCCTAGCGGCATTAACGTACATGTGTGTTGCTCAAAAAAAACTTTGATAGTTTATCTGTCGCTACGTAGCTGTGGTTTGGTTACAGTAAACATACATTCGTCTAAAATTAATTTTCTTATTGGCCTATTCATTTTGACTAACCCTGTACATTAAAGCTCCAGTCTTTTAAAACCGTTCTAGAAGTAGGCCAAACTAAAAAAACCCCTCATATTTAAAACATAAAACACCAATGTAGCCATTTATTGGGACCTCAATGACTACTAAGTCTTCAAGGCTCGTACCCTGGCTTTACTGTTGCCAGCATTATTTTAGGTTCTGCAGAACACTTAAAAGGTAAAGCAGACTTCATTCTACTGGCGGAAATTTGCCATACAACAATGTGCAAAGTGAGTATTTATTCCAGGTGTAATTTTACCGTTTCCAATAATTAGATATGATCTGCCCATTAATTAACACTTGAAAAGTACTGGAATGAAGAAAGTGGCACTCTTTTTTTACATGTAACCCTCAAGCCTTTTTCAGCTGCTTTTAAACCCCTCAACCTTCCTGGACGAATACCGTTCCCATTTAAAAAAACAGTAGGTGAAACATTTCCATTGAAAAGCCAAAGCAACATTTTCCCCATAAACACTTCCCAACAGTCCTAAAAATAGGCAGAAATGGACTGAACACACTGAAGCACTACAGCATAACACCAGAAGATATGCACTATTTGTAAAGGTCCAGTAAATGATATAGTGCATGCTGCTACTCTAAGATGATCACCAGTTTTAATACAAGGAAACTTTTGTCAACTTACTTTCACAACCACACAACTGCAGCCCACAACTTTGCGGGGTTTTCCTTCTCTGTCGATCTTGCAGAGACCTACCCACTCTCCCAGCTTCTTGTTGTCATCAACCTGTCAAAAACAATTTCATTATATCAGAAATGCACCTGATAGAAGACAGTAAAGAATAAATCAAAGCAAACTGTACTCAGATATAATGGGTAACATTTATGGTTGTTTTCCTCAACAGATTTCAGTAGAGGGAGCCATGTTGTCATCACTGTACAGCACAGACAGTACTAACAAAAACTACACAAATTTTATCTAATTTCACATACATAGCTTCAGTATTGTTACAAAAGGTTGCAAACAAAACATGGATTTTTATTTTCCTAATTACTATCAAAGAAGATAATAATCATTACCTTTATAAGGTTGATCTGATGTTCAGCACAAAGGGCTTCAACCAGTTTGACATACATGGGCTCGTTGCAATTTGATGCAAGAACACAAAGATGGGCTTGGCGTCTGAAATAAATTGTCCAATGAAGTCATATCACTTATTCAGCAGTTTAATCTCCACAAGAAATAGAAATATGCTGACTTGGCTTAAAAGCATCACTCTCCCCCACAACACTCTCTATTAGTGTTCCCTTCCATCACATTGACACTCAAGACAAAATTTAACCACGTTTAGAATTACTATTTAGAATAACATACTATTAGCACAACCATTTTAAATTGTTCACGTTACACACGTTGTATTTTATCTTTTTATTTTGTGCCTCTAGCATTATGATACATTGAAATCTACAGGTTTGTCAGACTATTATTCTCACTCATAATTAGAGTGAAGGGGTATCCGACATTTAAATATAATCATCATTCAAACTCTGTAGTTTTCCTTTCTGAATTGACCTCTCGGCTGTATACTTATACAATTAATCAGCCTTTTAGAAACTTCCCATTGGTGACTTTGTGTCAGGTGTTATCTAATTACATTTTCACCCTACAATTTCACACAATCACTTGCCACATTGCCATGTAATTTTCAATTGTCTTTAGAGGGCGTACAGGAGAAATATAAGAGGAAAAATTGTTCCAAAATTAACTCCTAGGGCGTGGAGTGCATCTCCCCCAGGTCTGTAAATGCTTAGGCCCACTGGGTTAAAGAACACCCCACTCCATGCAAAACCCCTTTTGCCAGCAAATGCTTCAAAATATCTACTAGGGGACATTTCAAGCCAATTTTGTGGTGCCCCGGGATGATTTACAGGATGCAAATGCCACCATAGACATTTGGGGCATTTCCCAAATATTTTTGTGGGCACAGGTTTGGCCCACTGGGATCTTCTGAGAGAGAATGCCTTCACAGCCTCTAGACTTCTACAGTTGCTTTAACACAGTGTTCTACAAGAACATTAGTATAGATCAGGGGTTTCCAAACTAAGCCTTGTCAGCAGGATGCGGCCCACCAAGGTCATTTACCCAGCCCCCACCCTAAACTTGAGACTTAGGGGCATCCTAAGTTTGAAATGACTTGATGGCACACAACAACCACTGTAATTACCTTGACCATCTCATCAGCCAAATGCAGGCTCACACTTTGAATTGATATACTGGTAAGGTTTTTTTTTTGTTAAACTTGACACTTGAATGCAGACTTCCCAAACTGAGGAACTGATCATCTCTCAGTACAAATATTAATCTCTGTGCTAGTAATAGTGAATGCACAAGACAGCATATATATATATTTTAACACATCCCCTGTACATAACTCTTTTTATAACTTTTAAGTCTGTCTCCTTAATTGTTTCACCTAAGTGGCAGCAACAAGCTCATAAGGAAACAAAATCAGTAAAGCTAAGCACTTACTTGTCTAAGGCTTTGGCAGCTTCACGAATTCCACGGGCCAATCCATCGTGGATGAGTGCGGTCTTGAGCACTTCTTGAAGGGCGGTGTTGACATCCATTACACCTCCAGCAACAATGCTAGATAATAAAGTCACATATAATTGAATTCCCAAAGTGTCCATTAAGTTCAACATTCTATTTATAGTGGCAAATCAGTACTTTACATCTCAAAATCAAGGCACCCATCAGTGCAGCATTCAATATGGCAGGTCCTGAAACACTGTTTTATCAACTGTCTGGAGTACTGTTACCTTTTATTGTGTTAAGTAGATTCTCCTATTTGCCCTCAAACGTTCATTGGATGATTCAAGAATACTATGTGTGTGTAGAGGGAAGGAAAAATCTACTCAGTGCCATGTATATTCAAAAGTATTCAAAATATTGTAAAAGTATATTCTATTCTCTTGCTTACATCATCTCCTTCTAACACAAATGGTAAAAAATTAGCATCTTCACACAGCAAAGGTGTGTCAATATCGTGAATGCTTTGGTTGCTCTGTCCACGCCCTTCTGATTCTACACAAAACCTTCTGAGGCAAGAATACCAGACTACAGAAAACTGCAGTCCAATTACAGGCATACCTAGATTAACACAGGCTTTAACAAAAGAAGTTTTTTGGTGCAGTATTTTTGGTGCTCACTCAAACTTTTCCCCGCCCACATCCAGTTTTTCTTGAATTTTTTAGCAGTGCAAAGATGGGGAGACTAGTGAAAGTGGGATGGAAAAGAGCAGATTAAAGCTGATCCTATGTACATGCCTTCAAGTTGCTGAAAGGGTATGGTGATTCCATGAAATTCACAGGGTTTTAGTGGGCAAAGAATGCTCAAGAGGTGGTTTTACCAGTTCTTTCATCTGAAATAAAGCCTATAGCACCGAGTATTTAGTTTGTGATTTCCTATTGAAGTACTAACCAAGCCTGACTCTGCTTAATATTAAAAATTAGGAGGGTATCTAGGAATTTTATGGGATTTTGGCCTACTGAACATCTATGTATGTGCTTTCTGCAAGAAGGGTAAACAGCATCTACCTTCAGAATTCTTTACTGAGCATGTGCACACTGAGCATGGGCAGTTCAAGAAAAGCTTGTGCCCCACAAGCTCCCCACAGCATAAAGAAGCATAGCTCTTTACATCTGATCTCCAAAACAGAAATCCTAAAAAAAAGTGGAGGCTTTGAAAGACAAGATTATCCCTGGATTTAAAAATAAACTTTCAGAATCGTATATACGTTCTATATGTGATTGTTAATTTTGGATTAAAAGTTTACTGAAACATGCTCGTTTTGTGATGCAAAGACCTATTCCTATGTCAATACAAATTTTGGTCAAGATAGCAACGATCAGGAACACATCTACTTTATTAACTGAAGGATATCTGTACCAACTTGTAAGATATTATAACATTTGCAATGTTATATTTTTCCCATAGTTCTTAAAATTGATTATGCCACACAACTCTCGCTGCATATTCAGTTGCCAGTGAACATACTACCATGACCCAAATATCTTGCCTTGATACTCAAGTTGGGTTGTAGTCCAACTGCATATGGCCCTTTTAAATCTCATTGAATAACATGGTATTATCTTTAAATCTGACATTCCAATGTTCACCTCATTCCAGATCATAGTGATTAAATTAGGCACTACCATCCCCCCAAAACATTCTTATGAAAGTTCAATTTACTTCTCTCAACTACAAACATTGTATAGTCCTGCTCTTTTTTCTTACTACTTACTGATTTGCAGAGGAAAAATTAAGTTTTTGTAGATGTTTGTAGTAAGTGTAACTAATAATCTAAATAGTCCATTTGGAATCACTGAGCATTAATCACATTACTGAAAAAATAGCAAGCATACAAGAAAGCCAATTAAAAACATGAAGTTGTATACAATGGGCTCTCTCTATCCATGAATTCTGCATCTCTGGCCCCTTCCTCACAGCCAAATTTATTTCTTTGTTCACCATATTTATACCCTGCCCTTCTCAATCCTGAAGGGGAGTCAAGGCGGCTTGACACATAGGCAACTCTTCAATGCTTCAAAAACAAAATATGATTAAAATAAACATTAAAACTGTTAAAAGAATTAAATCAATTATTAAAACTATGCTATCCACAATTGTAATCTGGGCCATGCAATAGTCACTGCATATATTCCATATAAAATCCCACATTATCTGCTTTGAACTGGAATATATGGCAGTGTGGACTCAGATAACCCATGCAGATATTGTGGTATTTTCTGCCTTGATAGTCTGGGTCATATGGCTGTGTGAAAGGGTCCTAAGGCTTCAATATATTCACTCATACACACCCCGCCAAAAGCCAACTCTGATTTTTGCCATTATATGTAAGGGATACAATTTGACTATGCCATTGTATATGACAGGACTTCAGCGCCCACAGATTTTGGTATCCATAGGAAATTCTAGAAGCAAACCCCATCAGCCACCAAGGACCCACTGTGTAACAAAGAATGGCTTATATATGCTGTAAATACAGCCCAAGTTTCCCATGACAAAACCTTGGGAGAAAGAGAACAGCATAAATAGAGGGGGAAAACTAATGCCACTAGAGCTTTGATCAAGTTGAAGTCCACATCTCTTGACACTAAAGTTCAAGGAAAACTTTCTTGTCCACATATCATATTGGGAGACAGAGATGAGTGCATGTGCTTTCAATGTTGCCTGTCAACTTATGACGGCCCCATTAGTGTCACAGGGTTTTTCTCAGGTGAATACCCAGAGGTAGGTTTGCCTGTTCCTTTCTCTGCCTGGTATTCATTTTGTTCTCATATCCAAGTACCAATTCAGGTTAATCCTGTTTAACTCCCCAAAACAGTGGGGACTTTGTGCCTTCAGAAGTCAGTACACTTTATAGCAAGTTATGGGTTTTGTAATGGTTTTATGTCTTTTTCTGAGGAAGAAGAAATGAATGTTTCTTTGGATCAATGACAATTCAGCACAATCCAGTGCTGATCCCATCTTCACACAGAACCAGATTTACAAGATACTCCGGGACCATTCTGTTCAATCCCTGCCATGCAGGAAAATACAGCACTCTGGACAGATGGCCATCCAGCCCTTTTAAATAACCTCAGAGAAGGCAATTTCATGTATTTCCATCTATTTTAAAGTCTTGAAGGCTTTGTATTGTTGGAGTCCTTTAAAAGTCTAATTTAATGGGAACATGTTATCCAAGTGGTTTAAATTAAAGTTAGGATGCATATGCAGTGTAGAATTCATGCAGCTTGAACCCTCTTTAACTGCTATGTCTCAACTTTATGGAATCGTGGGAGTTAATAGTTTTACAAGCTTTGTAACACTCTCTGCCAAGGAGTGCTGGCGCCTCAGCGAAGTAGAGCTCCCAGGATCCCGGGCAGTGCAAGTGGTGCCAGGCTGCACTAATGCCACAGTGTGCCAGATGTACAACTTTATTTAACCAAGTTTCCCAGCCCCTCCGAGCCCCCTGCTATTCAAAGAGAGCTCTGGGCCTCCACAGACCCGGCCAGCCACGTGTTGGGAGTCCCAGGCGGAAGTGGGAGGAAGCGAAGGCCTAGCCCTGGAAGAAGCCAAAACGTACCCTTCCTCGGCCATGGTTGGTGGTGACGATCCCGCCCGGGGTTCCTGAAACGAGACGAAAGGCTATTCAAGGTGGGAAGAACGAAGGCGCCCCATTCTCCCGCTTCCCACCGTCTTTCCCAACGTTCTCGCGGGCCGAGGCCTAGCCACGCGCGAGCGCTCACCTCACAGCATCCGCGCGAGTCGTCAGTGAAAAGGAAGGGGCGGAGCCACCGAGCCAATTTATATAGCGCCGCGAGGACCCCGCGCTCGCCTCGCGCGCCTGCCGTTAGGCCTCTAACCACATCGCCTGATAAAATGGACAGCTATTGTTGGGGGGGCGGGGCTCTTAGGATATTGGATTCCAGTGGGGGGGGGGGGGGGGGAGTTGAAAACCCTTGTAGGCAAGGCGCTTATTCA